CACAAGTGACAAACGGCCATTACAAACACAATTCAATCAAATCGGTCTACTGACTTAAATCAAAAGGAACAATACTTCCAGGGAGAGGATAACTGATGACTTATCCAACTGTTTTCTATCCCTTCCAAAGTTGAAAGCTTTGCCTCACTTCAGCAGACTACACGACTGTAGATGGGATCACAGACAGACCTGATTTTATTCAAAACAAACAAAACATAGACACCTATTCCACATTCCAGTCACAGGCTAGTGATCAGGAGATGGGTGCCTTAGCTGAATTTTCCTCTCCTTAATCCCGAGAGGTGAGCACAGATCAAAAAACAAAAAGGGGACTGTTGTGATTGTAACAAGGTCAGCCCAGCTGGACATCATACAATGAGTTCTCTGATTGGCGCTGTTAATCTGTTACAATCAAGGAACCGTGGCTGACATATAAAAAGGTTGAGTGTTAGTGATACTGACACTCTGGTGCCTGACTCTATGAGGCAGTACTATAGTCAAGGACTGTTCGTGTGTAAATAAAGGGTGACTTGGTGATGGGACACCAGCCTCTGTGGAATCATTTCAGGGACTTTCCTAGTTTAGTGGGCTCAGTGTCACAGACAGGCATGTATTTCTTTATTCAGCCAAAAGTAGTCCTGATTAATTACTTTCCTTTAAAACATAAACTGTCATTCAGTGGGTTGTACTCCTGCCTCTGCATCAGAAGTCTAACCCTATCGCAGGCACAGACTACAGCATAAACTTTAGATTGACACTTCATTGAAGTCTTGCAGGAGTGCTGCACTGTCAGAGTGACTATCTTTTGGATGATGCATTAAACTGAGGCATTTCAGCTATATTGAAAAAATCTTGTGGCGCTATTTAAACAGCATAGAAATTCTTCCTAATGCCCCAACCAAGACTTATCCCTTAAACATGATGTAAACACTTATCTATTTGCTATTTGTATAAGTAAACTGGCTGTTATGATGCCTAAATTAAAACAGGGACAATACTTTGAAAGAACTTCATTATATGTGAAGCACTTTGCAATGTCTTGAGGTCACAAAAGGCACAATATAAATGCAAGTTCTTACTTTCTTTCAACAAGGTGCTCTCTGTACTGATTTGGCTGGACTCGTCAGATTAAGTCTCTACCAGCCAGCATTGGCAATTGAGGCAAAGTGAGTACTGAAAATATGTATGGAAAAGACCTTCCAATTATATATGGAGACTGATAATCCTAATCCTAATTATTCACAGGCTGAACTTTTGGGGAAAATGACATTAAATTTGCAGTACAAAAGGAAGCAATTTTGCTTTGGGCTGTGCATCCTCACAAGCTTCTTACTACCCCTACTTCATCTGGCCCATCTGCATAAGTCTGCATTCTTTTCTCCCTCATGTACTTATCTAGCTTCCCAAATTCCTTTTTGGTAGACTCTTTAGAAGTATCTGCATGATGATCTGATGGTGTAAATAATTAATACACATCTCCTTCACTGTGCAATTTGGGATTTAGAATAAACCTTGTGTATGTGTGGTAGCCCCTTGGAACGAGGATCACACGTGCTCATGGCAAGAATCTGCATGTAGAGTAGGTTGACTTGGGAAGGCTGTTGTGAGGCAGTTTCCATGTGGTTCTGGCTGACGAGGAAACTCTCCCACTCTTACAGCCTGCCATAGGAGAATCAGAAGGATTTACTGATTGATCATCAATCTATTTGGACAAACACTTGAACCACAGCTTCTAGCCCAGAGATAAGGGCACTACCACTTTTCCAGAAGATCTCCTACAAACCTAGAATGATGAGATGAAAATTCCCCTCTGCTTGCTACCTGCAGTCTGGCTTTCGAGCACCTTTGGCCAAGTTCCTACAAGGCATAGGCTTAAAGCACAAAATTAATGTAATGTTCCTTTTTTCCATGAAGCCACACAATGCCTGGTGTGGAGAATGGAATTATTGTCCTGGTGCAATAGGGGTTTCAGCATGGTCAACACCCAATGTGACAGTATAAAATTTACTAAGACTTATTAAAATGACAATTATGCTCTCAATTAAAAAAAATACCACTCTGTATCTGGAGAACACAAAACCATCGGCATCTGCATCAACTGTATGCAGATCAAACTGTTACAAGTAACCACATAATAGCATGCAATGCAACTGTGGAGCTATAAGGTGGGCGATCCAAAGGCTATTTTGAGGGTCACACTGCTGCCAGAATTGTGATTTTAAATGATTTTAAGGACATGGAGGAAAAAGACAGGCAGGCTGCGCTGAATGTCCTTTTGCCATCCTGTGTAATTCTATGATAGGTACAGCGCTTTCAGCATAATGTTGTTCAAGTTCACTTCAGATTATAAGAAAATAGAAACAAATTTCCTTATTAAACATTAAAACTAACGTATCTCTAATTCTCAGCCAATACAATTTAATGGACCGAAGTGAATTCATTTTTTCGCTGTCCAACATTGCTAAAGTTGAATTATATGACATTTGTCTACAAACCCAAGCCTATTTCAAGTCTACAGCAAAAGAGCCAAACATTATCCTAATGTGGATATTTATCCAAGCAGGCCCCTCCCTATAAAGTGGAACGCACAGTCAAATAAATGCTTTCTATGTCACTTTCACAACTTCAGGAAATCCTAAGGCACTTTACAGCCATAGAAATACTTTTGAAAGCATACAGCAGCCAATTTATATACAGCAAACTCCCACAAACAGTAATGTGATAATAACGAGTGAATTGTTTTTTAAAATTATATTGCTGGAGAGATAAATATTGGTCAGGACATCAAGAGAACTCCCCTGCTCTTCAAAATAGTGCCACTGAGACCTTTTACATCGACGTGTGTTTGTTTATTTTCTTATATTGATGGTTAAAGTGCGGACCC